CTGAGAATATTGCGTGAGAGTCGCTATGACAAGAAGTCCTCGGACATCAGCGCGTCGACACAGTATTGGGCTTAGAATTTCAAACAGTAGTATCCGAAGGGTTTTGAAGTTAGACTTAAGGTAGATTCATACTATAGGTCTGGTCACGGTTCGGTCGCAGTCAGGTTTTTTTATGAACTATTCACGCTGTTGCGGTCGCTCATCAGTCTTTTGTCAGTTAAGTTTTCAACAAGAGACCTGGCCATAATGGCTTACATCCTAGATGAGGAAGAGAGAAGCGAAAGCTCCAAAAAAATAAGTTCAAAATATTCGCAGAAAGAAAGAGTGCGGTCAATTGACTAGATCGTTACCTGACCGTGCAGAATAATATGAATACTTTAATACAAATTGCGTATTCTAATATTTGACTGGACCACGACCGGACCGTGATCTGACCGTGACCGGACGTATAGTATGAATCTACCTTTACACTATCACCCCTACAAAATTCAAGTGGTTCAGGCTCTAAATGAAAACGATTTCGCTGCTCGACGGCACTTTTGTGAAATATTTTTGGGAATGATTGAGGAAAACGAGGACCTTCACACGTTGCTCTGGATGAGCGACGAGGCGCATTTTCATCTCTCCGGCTATGTAAACAAACAAAATTTTAGATATTGGAGCGATGAAAACCCTCAAGAACTCCATCAAAAACCTCTCCATTCGGCCAAGGTAACAGTTTGGTGCGCAATGTGTTCAACGGGAATCATAGGCCCATTCTTTTTTGAAAATGAAAGGGGACAAGCTGTGACCGTGAATGCGGAGCGCTACTCAGTAATGTTGCGAACATTTTTCAATCCTCGTCTTCGCGAACATGGACTGAATGATGAAACCATATTTCAACAAGATGGAGCCACAAGCCACACAGCCCGTGTGAGCATGAATCTGCTCAACGAAGTTTTTCCAAATCGGGTGATATCCAGGAACGGAGCCATTCCTTGGCCCGTCCGTTCACCCGACCTTACCGCATGTGATTTTTTTTGTGAGGCTACCTGAAGAATAAAGTTTTCAGAGGACGGCCTCGTACTCTTGAAGAACTGAAGGCGAGAATCCGTCAGGAAATCGAAAGAATCCCTCAGCAGATGCTCCGTAATGTAATGGACAATTTTAGAAAACGCCTCCAAGAATGCATCGATCGAAATGGACGACATCTTAATAATATTATTTTTAAATTAATAATGTTTATGTAATGCTTTTTAACGTAAATTAACATGGTATCAATAAAATTTTAAAAAATGCAACTGTGTATTTTTTACAGTTGTTTCAAAATTGCAGGTTTGACTGGTGCACCCTGTATAAATAAAAATGTCCTTGGTTTATTCGTTTTTATTTTCTTTTGTTTGGCACAGCATTACATGTTTCGGAAAATTTTTCCATCTTCGGGTACAGTCAAAATTTAATAAAACATGGGTACGATTAAAAACAATTTAATTTTTTTTTTTAAATAACAGAAACCCTATCTTTTTGTTTCTAATCTTTAACTGTAACGCCACTGGTAATTTTTAACTTTATAAAAAGACATCTTTTTGTTTTCTTTCTTTATCGTGTTAAACGAAATCATTATTTCGAATACACCTTCACACGTTGAAACAGAAAGATGGGGTTTCTGTTATTTAAAAAAAAATTAAATTGTTTGTTTATTTGTAAACGGCACATAATACAAAAAAAATTATTAGTGGTACAAATTGGTACAAATTCAGTTATTTTTAATTCTACCTTTTTTATTTTTTATTTTATTTTTTATTTTATTTTTTTAATGTGATCTTGCTAAAGTGTATTCAAATTTAATTTACGCCTGATGTAAACAGAAGCAGGTGGACGCTAAAATTGAGCAGGGCCGTATTTTACTTTTCCGTCTTGCAAAAATGTAAAATAAAAGAGTGTAATTGTGAAATTATTTTTTTATTACGATAAAAATATATTTTGTAAACTAAAACTATAAAATAAATGCCATACATGGTCTCCCAGACTTTAGTGACATTTCTGGACGAAGACAGGTGAGCGACATAAACTGCGTTAACCTGCAATACAAATTATTAAATGTATTTGACTTTAAAAGAGATGTTTGCATTATATTTAGTTCATTACATGTCTACTGTGATACAGAGCATTAAAACAATCATATTATAAAATTATTTTATACAGGGTGTCCAAATAATTGCAAATTCTTTAATAGCTAATATATATCTACCAAAGGCATTAAAAAAACTTTAAATATAAGAGGTATTTGGTATTTGAATTTGGTATTTGATTTAAAATTGTGCATCTTAAAAAGAAACCTTTTGTATTTTTGACAACTTTTGTTCTTTATTGTTCTTGTTCTACTAGTATTTAGATTAGACACCTTGTACCCTGTATTATAGCAATCTTCCTTACTTGACTTAGCACTATTCTGAATCGGATAAATTAGTTAGACTTGAAGGGCTATCTTCTTTAATCAAAATTACAAGTGGTTCTACCTGAACCTCTATAATATTATCCAACTTTCATATTTTTACTTTTTGGCGAACATGGTCGATACACTTTTTCCATTTTTCTGGAGAAATTAATAATATTACTTCTTCAAAAAGAATTTTAATGTCTCCAGATTTAAATGTTTAGTTTTTATCTGCTACGTATTGTTTAACGTCAACCTAGATTAATTTAATAGGGTTAAGTTCACAATGATACGGAGACAGGTGAAGTATTATGTTGTTTTGCTGCTTATCCATTTCATCTATTACATACCTATCATAATGTTTATGTTGCTTACCAAGTTTAAGAAGTTGGATCTTAAGCATTTGGTAGTCGAATTCAATTTTTTTCCCTTATAGCCATTTTTAAATATCACCTTTTTTAGACGTCGTTGTAGGTATATTTTCCAGCTTTCTCGAATAATAATGTAGTTATCTTCTAATTTTGGTAAGGTGTTTGAAAACCATTCTTTGAACAATTCTCCACACATTTCTTCATGGTAGTCACCGGATTTTTCAACTCAAATACATAAAGTGCATTAGAGACAAAGCCTTCTTCACTTCCAATGAGCTGTTTTTATGCACATACCTGATGGGTTTTTAATACCAGTTAAAAGTTCATCCAAAAAGGCTTGTCTGGATGATAAAACCGACATATCAAAACATACTTTTGATTTGGTGTGGCCTGCGTTAATCCAAGTCGCATCAAGATAATATATTTTTTTGCTTTTCTTCTCTGTACCGTTTTATTTTTTGTGGCGTATGACGAAAAAATTTCATTTTTGTCTAAAAGCAAACTATTTTTTCCTCGAGTTTTAAATTTAAAATTAAGGGTTTTGAAAAGCTTCTAAAATGTAGCTCGCTTAAAAGTAGACAAATATGGACCATCGTTGACTTCTTATAAAACCTTATCGATTGTTGGAAGTTAATTTCTAAAGAAGAATTGATGTACTTTGCGCCTTATTGCATTTTTGTCAAAATCATCCACAGAGCCACTAATTTGTTTATAACGTAGCTTTTTTTTGGTTCAGAAAATTAATGAATCTGCCTATACTCCTTCATAACATTAAAAACGGTTTTAGCGCACATCCCTGTTTTATCCTTTCAACATCATGTACCAACATATCAGGGTTCTATAAAATTTAATGCTTATAAATATTAAGAACCATTTCTTTAGTACGGATGACCAAATTTTCGGTCGCTTTTTAGAAGGAGTAAAAACATTTTTCTGGACTTCATCTGCTGTATCCACTGTCCTTTGTGGAGGACATAGTGTCACGCAGCAGTTACAAAATATAGTCAATTAAATGTCTATAAAATAGAGTAAAAAATGTTCAAACTAACAACAACCACAAAAACAAAAAAAAAATAAATAACACAATATATGTATACCTAAACTATAATGTAAAGAATTATAATCAATCAAACAAACAAAATGTCCAAACTAACCAACACGGTGAATGTTACCAAAACGCCGTTTATAATTATCCAAATTGAACTGAATTCGACTCTGACAAAAAATATTTGCGCGTCGTCTAAATGACTAACGACCGATTAACCAATAGAAGTGCAAAAAAAATGCAACGTGAGCTGTTGCTGATGGGAGAGATTGTTTTGACACGGCGTAAATGAAATCTGAATAGACTTTAGCTTAATATTAACTTAACACCCCACGTTTTTTTTTTTTTTTTGAAAATAGCATAGGGTACAAAATTTTTATTGGTTGTACTAAATAATGTAATAGATCTTAACCGATTATGCCCAGTTGGTCCTGCCACCAGCTAAAGAGAGGTAAATTCTCGTCCTCCTAGATACCACTAAACAGAACCTAAGGAATTTGACCATGAACAGAAATATGCACTTGCTGGTAAGCTTTGATTCATTATTTTTTAAATTTTAATTACTGTCATTTTACATTGATGGAACTTTATTATTAATAACATTTTTGATCAAAATCACAGATTTAATAATCATTCCCAATTACTGTACATATAATTTATAATATAAATTTCCTAAATATTTGACAGTTTATTTTCCTTGTTATTCTTTCATTCCAAGTATCAAACTAACAGTGTTCTGTGAACTTATATTATGTAGTTTGTCTCAGAATTTATTATTTTTCGTAGTGTACCAAAATTTTATAGACTTATTTTATTGACAAATATTATTATTGTTGGTAATTTTATTATTTTCACAACAGTACCTAAGTATATTACATAGCAAGTGTGGAATGTACGAGTATACGTTATGGGCGTACAAGAAAAATCCAAGTCCAAATATGTAGTTTTCGGAAAAGTAGATTTTAAGATTCTTTGAATATTTATATGTAGTGGAAAGTAAAGTAAAAACTAACACGATTATCATTATTGAACAGTCCGTAGTTATGGACTTTTTAATAAAAGTTAAACAATACAAGAATTATTCGCTTTATTTATCACGAATTTGCAAAAAATAGACTTAGTGGATTTTCCTTGTACGCCCACGGCTTATTTATATATTTTTAATTACCTGTTGCATTAGAATTATCCCGTTTAATTCCTTTATCCATCTTTTTTGAGGTGATGGTGTCTTTCAGAGCTTCTTCCGATGATTTATCAACTTTTAAATCAGGCGCAATCTCTTAAAAGTAAATGTTTAAATAGTATATAATGCACTTTTTGTAGAATAACTTCAAATTTTTCTTAAACAGAATGTTAGCACTAGCAAGAATTCCAAAATAATATAATAACTATTTATGATAGTAAATGATAATAAATGATAGTAAATGATAGTAAATGATAGTAAATGATAGTAAATGATAGTAAATGATAGTAAATGATAGTAAATGATAGTAAATGATAGTAAATGATAGTAAATGATAGTAAATGATAGTAAATGATAGTAAATGATAGTAAATGATAGTAAATGATAGTAAATGATAGTAAATGATAGTAAATGATAGTAAATGATAGTAAATGATAGTAAATGATAGTAAATGATAGTAAATGATAGTAAATGATAGTAAATGATAGTAAATGATAGTAAATGATAGTAAATGATAGTAAATGATAGTAAATGATAGTAAATGATAGTAAATGATAGTAAATGATAGTAAATGATAGTAAATGATAGTAAATGATAGTAAATGATAGTAAATGATAGTAAATGATGGTAAATGATAGTAAATGATAGTAAATGATAGTACATGATAGTAAATGATAGTAAATGATAGTAAATGATAGTAAATGATAGTAAATGATAGTAAATAATAGTAAATGATAGTAAATGATAGTAAATGATAGTAAATGATAGTAAATGATAGTAAATGATAGTAAATGATAGTAAATGATAGTAAATAATAGTAAATGATAGTAAATGATAGTAAATGATAGTAAAAAATAGTAAATGATAGTAAATAATAGTAAATGATAGTAAATGATAGTAAATGATAGTAAATGATAGTAAATGATAGTAAATGATAGTAAATGATAGTAAATAATAGTAAATGATAGTAAATGATAGTAAATGATAGTAAATGATAGTAAATAATAGTAAATGATAGTAAATGATAGTAAATGATAGTAAATGATAGAAAATGATAGTAAATGATAGTAAATGATAGTAAATGATAGTAAATGATAGTAAATGATAGTAAATGATAGTAAATGATAGTAAATGATAGTAAATGATAGTAAATGATAGTAAATGATAGTAAATGATAGTAAATGATAGTAAATGATAGTAAATGATAGTAAATGATAGTAAATGATAGTAAATGATAGTTAATGATAGTAAATGATAGTAAATGATAGTAAATGATATTAAATGATAGTAAATGATAGTAAATGATAGAAAATGATAGAAAATGATAGAAAATGATAGAAAATGATAGTAAATGATAGTAAATGATAGTAAATGATAGTGAATGATAGTAAATTTTGGAACAAGAGTGGATAAAAAGGCCATATAGCCATAAGCGGATCGCTCAATACGGACAATCCAATCTAGTTGGACAGTATGTTAAAAAAAAATAATTTAGGTTACAAAGATAATACAACTAATTTAAAAATACTTTGACTTTTACTTATTTATTAAATAAAATAAAATAAAATTAAAAAAAAAAGAATTATTCTATCGAAGATTTAGTATTTTAACTTAGTCTGCTCTATCGAGATAGGTACCTAACTTTTTAGTTGTAATACTCATAATTAGGTGTTACTAAAATTTATGATTTCTTTGCAAATATAGACAGACGTTCATTCGTCCAACAATGTTGAAAACAGCGCTGAATTCCAGCAACAAGCTAAGAGCGCCCATTGCCAATCGATGACCATATCAATGGAAACTACCAACAAAAGTCTGAAGTTAGACAAGGTGGTGTTTTGTATGGTAAATATTCATATGATGATGGCTTCTTCTGGAGGACTATATACTACAAAACGGATAAAAATGGTTTCGTAGTTACCAAGTACAGGCTGCATTTATTTATAGCAAAGGACAAATATCTGAGAATTCTGTTTGAAAATTGCGGTAGCCTAGGTGTCAGTACATCACTTACAAGCCAATTTTTTGGTAGAAACACACCGGGTTTCGAAGCCTACAGAAGACCATGTGAATTTATTTTCATGGTTCTCTATAGGATTTAATAAATGCCGTATTATTTGAAGGGGGGTATTATTATTATTATTATAAAATGAACTTTTTTTATTGTTTTAAAATTTGATCTCTTGGTTTTTTTTAGGCAAGACGCTCTTGCAACTCATATGAGCCAACATACTGGTGACGCCAGCGTGCAGACGTTGATGGACGGTTACCTCACCGAGTATCATATCACTGAAAATGACATTGGATCTTCCAAAAATTATTTTGTACCTATTAATTCATTTTTTAACAAGACAAGGAACTGTTGGTTGGTGCTCAATTCAAAATTATTTTAATACTTTAAAACAAAATAAGACAAGACCATAATATACAGGGTAGACCACCGGTAATGCCTCACTCTGTAGAGACAAAAGTATTTGATTTTTTAAATCTTTTCACAGCAAAAGGCAACCATTTAAAAATATTTTCAATTATACAGGGTTCTCCAGGAATGTATACAATTCAAAGTTGTTTCATATTTTTTTTTATATTTGAATAACCCTCGCTTTTCCCATTATAACAACCCCAAATATTATGGGATTATACAGTACGGTGGAGCGAAAAAAATAATATTATTTTTTACTATATAATACCTAAGAAAAGTTGCCTATACATATATTAAGCTATTTTCAATGTCTTCAATTTAAAGAACAAAACATTTTTTTTACTTTTTTAACTTTTAATACAAACTGAAAATTGCTATTTCCCAAAATTTCCATTAAAAATAAATATGTCTTCAGGCCTCTATCTTTCATCAAATTGAAAATAAAATACATATAATTCTAGTGAAAAACATAAACCAAATGCATCTAATCACAAGTACTTGGCATCAAACTTTTACATTAATAAACAAATTCAGAAAATCCCAAATATTATGTCACGAAACTCTTCAAACTTGTTCAATCCAGTTAAGACCAGTTTATAATCGTTTATGCACGGCAAATCGTGTAGCTCTAAGCTGAACTCGGTCTTCTTTTGATAGTCGCAGAAAAAAGATCTTTGTTTTAAGTTGTAATGAGTTTGTCAGTGAAGGAGACTAGGGGCAGTAGGGGTGCTACTAATTGTCCTATATTTGGTGCACTATTCCCTATTGGTGTCTATTGGGTACCTATTTGGTGCCTATTCCCAACCTAGCTCGTATTTTTGACCAATTTGACATTTCGGACCGTTCTGCAGCAATGCTTGCATCTGCTGTATTACAGGATTTGGAACTTATTTTGAAAGAAACATCATCTTCAGCTCATCGAAAATACCGTTTTGATTTAAAAAGCGAATTCCAAACATCCATTAGAGCATTATACTTCGATTGAAGAATGGATGAAACGATGTGCCAGGAAAAAATTAAAAACATATTTCATCGCAAAATAAAAATCGAAGAACATATATCATTGCTCGAAAAACCACGTTTAAAATATATGGGTCACGTTACACCAACAACAGGTACGGGGAAACATATTGCCATATCTATAGTTAATTTTCTACAAGAATTTGACATCAGTACAAATAAGCTTTTAGTAGTAGGCTGCGATAGTACAGCAGTTAATACAGAAAGGAAGAAAGGAGTTTTGCGGCATTTAGGAAAAAAACGGAAGTGGATGATATGTCAGCTACATATGAACATATTTTTTAATATCTTGACGAATAAACTGCAGGACCTCGTGAATACTCTGGTGCTATAGCAAAAATGTTGGAGTCTTGCGAAAAATTGACCGTTATAAATTTTGTTCCTATTGTTAGTCCTTTATCAGAATTAGACGCTGCAGCTATTAGGAATCTTAGCACTGATCAAAAGTACTTATACAGGGTGTTATTGAAATACACGTACATATTAAAACTGGGTATTGCGCAGATCCCCACTGAATGTAGAAAAATATTATTTTTTAAAAATACCCCTTATTAAGGGAGTTATTAATTTTTGAAAATTAATTCTAAAACAAACGTACTTCACTGATATGTTGAGGATGACCTATATAAATTAGGTTTATTTACCTATTTTAAACATCAACAGTAATTAATATGCAAGTTTTTGTCAGATGATAAGAAAACTAGTCTTGTAAGAAATAACCATGTTGCCAAGATTTTCGAATTAATTTCTATTTTCGAAGACTGGTTTTTACTACCCTCGTTATCAAAAAACTAGAATATTTGATAAATGATTGTTTTTAAACTATACATTTTTGAAACTATAGATTATTAAAATTTTAGTTGATTTACGAATCTGGCTAACACGAGCGCGTCATTTCCAAGTTGGTAAAAAGTGTTGTTACGATTACTTTTAAATATTTTTTTACGATGCCACTATTTACGAATATTAAACTAACGGATATAGTGCTGGTTTATGGGGCAGCTGGAGAAAATTCTCGGCAAGCACAAATCCTGTATCGCGAACGGTTTCCAAATCGGAGAATTCCGGACTGTCGTACGTTTATTTCAACTGTTCAGCATCTAAGAGACCATGGAAAATTTGAGAGTGTCAATGCAGATCGAGGGAGAACAAGAACACAAAGAACATTGGCGGCCGAAGAAGAAATATTGGAAGCTGTTGAAAACCGGCCTCAATTAAGTTGTAGAAGACTAGGTCTTGAAATTGGAGTGTCCTCATTTGTTGTGTGGCGGACACTTTAAGAACAAGGTTTACATCCTTATCACATCCAAAATCCAGGCCTTATATCCAGGTGATGAAGAAAAGAGAGTGGAGTTTTGTGAATGGATGATTCAAAAATGTGTTGATATTCCTGATTTTCTAAAAATATTATTGTATACTGACGAGGCTTCATTCACTCGTGATGGCGTGTTCAATATGCACAATACGCATATTTGGAGTGATGAAAATCATCACGCCATTAGGGAAACTGGGCATCAAAGAAAAGTTTCAATAAATGTTTGGGCTGGCATAATAGGTCAGTATTTAATCGGGCCTTATGTTCTTCCGAACAGATTAAATGGGCCAGGATATCTCCACTTTTTAGAAGATATTTTGCCAGTACTCCTAGAAGAGATACCGTTACAATTAAGGCAACAGATGTGGTACCTACTAGATGGCGCTCCTCCTCACTTTGATTTAAACGTACGGCAGTTTTTGAACATTAGATTTCCTCAAAAGTGGATAGGCAGAAATGGACCTACTAAGTGGCCTCCGAGATCTCCGGAATTAAATCCATGCGATTTCTTTTTGTGGGGTCACATGAAACAACTGGTTTATAATGAACCTATTAATAGTGTTGAACAATTAACCAATAAAGTTAATGCGGTAGCCGAGGAACTACGACAAAATCCAAGACTAATTTCTAATGTTCAAAGTTCTTTGGAAAGACGATTGCAAGTGTGTGTAAATAATAATGGACGGCATTTTGAACAATTACTGTAATAAACTTTATTTTGAATTAATTGGTTTTCCTACGGCAACAGTGCAATTTCTATGGGTAAGTTCAATTTCGATTTATTTTACTTCTTTAAATATGGAAACTAGTAGGTCGGAAAAGGGGACTCTTCCCCAATATTTAAATTTTAGAATTTGAAGTTAAAATTGGTGCCAATCGTTTTTGGTCATTACATACTATTCCCCATTTTAATATGTACGTGTATTTCAATAACACCCTGTATAAAATGTGTCACAAAGGCAAACCTATATTGCATCTTTACATCGGAAGTAAATATCCGTCTACAAATTTAAGAACAATCGCTGAATTTGTGGCAAAAGTTTATGCGCCAGCGTGGTTTGACATTAAAAGAAAACCATCGTGTAGTTATGGAGGAAGACACTTTTTTAGAATGATACAGTTGTCACGCTACTTGAACAACGAATTAAAGGCAGTCATCGATCCTGTTATCAAACGAAATGTGAATTTTTGTCATCTGGAGAACCATCTTTTAGCAATGCTTTCTGATGATCGTCCTGCTATATTTGGCTTACGAAAAATATTAAAGGCGCGCACAAAAATATCCACAGACGTAAGGGAATTTGTCATTCCTGAATTAGATTTCGATACCAGTGAATATTATGAGCCTATTGATTGCTAAATTGCTCAGTTACAGCACCACCTCTTTTAAGTACTGCAACTGATGGAGATATCAGAGAATTTATAAACAATACAGGAACTTGTCCTGTAGATTTTTTGTCCTCTCCCTGCCATACACAGGCATTGGAGAGATGCTTGAAGGTTGTAACCAAGGTTGTAACAGAAGCTTCCAATTCTGTTGTCGGCCATGACTCTAGAGATGGATTTATTCGTGCAAGGATTCATTCTAGAACCATACTACCTCGATTTAACACTAAGGCATAATACAATGCATCCCGTTAATCATTCTTACATTTAGCAACTTTTCCACACTAACACGTTTCGAAAATAAAATAAAAAATATTTTCTTCCTGTTTCACTCCACCCTTTTTTACAGGGTATTTCAGACGCATTAAACAGTTTTACATGAAAATAGTAGCGATTTTAATGACCTGTATAACTGCAAAACAAACAATTGAAAAGCAATTTTTTTGCAGTAAAAGGTTTTCCATGTTATTCAACATTTAATGCCGATGCAATACCTTTTTAAATTAAAAAAAAAAAAAATGTACTAGGTGAGTCAACTCAAATACATAATTTTAACATTTTTTTCTTAATTGTCCCCCTAAATTTTATAACCCCATTCAAAAATAGCTTAATTAAAGTTTTATTTGAGTTAAGTTCTCTATAGATACCTAAAGTTAATAATTTTAAGGCACTTTTAAATATAAATGAAAACTAAGATATTTCACAAAATACTTCAATTTTAACTGATCACTGTCTAATTGGTAATAGACTGTTTGTTAATTAGTAATTAGAATAAACTCTTTTGTTATTTAAATTTAAACATATTTCAAAATTATTAACTTTAGGTATAGGGTATGCTTGACTCAAATGAAAGTAATATAATGTACTTAAAAAAAATAGCATATGATGTAATTGAATGATGACTAACATCGAGAAACATGTACCATAAATCATTGGTTGTCATTTGTTTCTTTGGCAGTACAGAGCTCATTAAAATCAATACGATTTTCATATAAGTTATAATGTGTGAAATACTCTGAGAAAACTAATGCACATAAAAATAAACTATTTATTGAAACTACACTGCAAAAACTACATTTATTTCTATTGTTCTTTGATAATGCTCCATCATGATAAGGCGTGGTGAAATAAATTTTGGAACAAATAGTCCTAAACATTTTATTTTTGAAAATTTATGATGTTATATTGGATCATAAAATTTTTGATATAATTTATTTTTAAATAAAGTATAGTAGATTATTTAACGCTATCATAAGTCGAAGTCAAAATATTTTTTCTTCAAATTCTAAATTTTGGTCATAGAATTTTTTTTAATAATGCATGCCTTATTTAAAATTGTTACTTTCGATATACATATTTATTACATATAAAAAAAAATTCTCACCATTGCTACCTGTACGACTTTTTCTCACATTACTTGAAACAGCAGTCTCTTTGGTACAACTGGACGCATATCTTTTTTCCGATATATTACTGTATCTGTGTAATTTTTCAGATACTACTAATAAGTCATCCTTTGCTATATTATTTTTATGAATGCACGTTATCAAAGTTGGAGTTTTCAAAACGCTCTGAAATGACAAAGGAATTTTTTAAATAAGCAAAGCAAACCTTCAACGGTTTTGGAAAACATATACAATTTCAAACTGAATGAAGAAAAGAAATAGGCTCTTCAGTTTAAAGAAATGTAAATTGAAGACTAAGAAATGCCTTATAATTGCATTTTATCTATAGAAATTATTTTAAAACAGAAAATTACTCTGCAAAGAGAGAAGAAATAGTTTAAGAGATTAAGGCAAAAAAATATAAAGTCTTACATATTTATAAACTTTTTGACTTAGTTATGGATAATACAAAATAAATGTTTTGATACAAATCAAAATTTAAATTATACTGTATTGTAATATTACCTTGGTTTTCCTTCCTTCTTTCCTTGTTTTCTCGCGTGAAGATTTATTTTCGTTTTGCTCCAGTTTTAGTTTTAAGGCTTCTTCTTTTTGCAATTTGTCTAATCTTTTTTTACAAGAAGCTCTTACTTGTCTCCATTCTTCTAATATGTCGTATTCTGCAAGATATATTTGATTAAGGAACACTAAAAACAGGCTAGGGCTAAAAGCAGAAAGTATAAAAATTTAAAACAATCTTTTAATTGTTTGTTTTATGAAAAAAAGAAAAAGGTAATATACCTATTGGGAATTAAGTCATCATCAACCATTGTTTTATATACATACTACAATGCTTGCACCTACTATAGGGACAAATTACATTTACACAAAATAGAAAACTAATATAAATCATGTATATATTATGTTTTGGTTGCTAAATCATCCCTTTCTTTTTATCTTAGGTGGCCCGTGTTTAGACTAGTACGGCTGTGATGAACGCTGGGAGAGGCGCCCAGTCTATAGTCGAGTCATCTTCATCATCCAAGCATTGCAGCTCCACATCCGGAACGTTAATGTACAATTTGTCACCGCATAACTTACATAGAACTGAGCAATGGAGCCCAGTCTTTCTACACGAGCAGCTCCCAGATCACCCTTTCTTGCATTTACATGAAATTTTTCGCAGAAGGGCAAGAAGTGCGGAATCCATGGTAGTGAGGATGTGGGTGAGACCTTCGGAAGACAGCTTTCACCCCCAATCAGTGGGATTCAAGTTGACTCCCCGCCACTAATGCACTTGGAGGTAGCACCTTGTTATATGGTGGCCTGTGGCATCTTCCGTCGGTGGCAAACGGGCAAGGTTTATTCTCGTTGAAGTAACAAAGTCCTGTAGTTCAGAAAATTTAAACTATCCCTTGCGATGTCACTCCCATATAGAGCTACAAAGCACTTGATGCCTGCTTCTCTCACGGCTTGTAGGGTGGAGTCTGGATGAAGAAAGACCTCTACTTGCTCAGCAAGTGGTTCACTCTTAAAAAGAAGTGAGAACAGTTTATTTGCATTTACCCCAAAACCCACTTATGACTTTTATGGTTATCTGCCGTTTTTGAGAGAATCCCTGGGCCTACAGATACCAGTATAGTCTCTAATAAACGTGAATTAAATTTGATACAACTTCATTTAATATAATAATTGACGTGGGATGCGTATTTTAGAAGATATTTCACAAAATAAGTGACCATTTCGAAAAAAATTCACTTTTTGGAAAAAATTACCTATTTTTAAAGAACTGTATCTTGGGAACCAAAGGTTGTATAGAGCTCGCTCTAGTTTTAAATTGTAGCAAATTTAGCCTTCTTTAAAAGTATGTAGAGTGACTGTATCAGTCAGTGATCTCTCCAGTCACGTCGTAGATGGGTAAGCACTAAGTGATTCCACCATGGGCCATGTTACCATGGGACTTATCCGACCAGCGGTTAACCATCGACAACGTGGAATGAAAAACGATGAATGAGGAAGTGACTGGGAGAATGGGAAAGCAGTAGAACCTTCAAATGGTGGTACAATAAGCCGCCACGCTATAGACAGATTAAAATGTAGCACGGGAGGTCCGAAGGGAGTAAAATTAAAAAAAAAAGGTCAGACCTTCGTTGTAAGGACAGCTTATTAATGTACATTATAATTGAGACGAATATTTACCTCTATTTTCAAAATCATTAGGGTCGTCATCAACAAACATATTAACTTGACAAGGATGTTTGTTGGTTTTTCTCTTCAGACTATTTAAGTAACACTTTTTTCCACAGAAGTGAATTAATCGACATTTGGGACAAGAGTACATTTTGTTGGTTTTTGAGAAGCATTCGAAACATACTAAGTACTTGCTTTGATCGTCCAGTCCAGGTGGTTCAAGGTTAATCTTATAAAGAATGTAAAAAGTTAAATTAAATTACTAAGTAAAAATACCCATGTCCCACGTAATCTGCTTAAACAAAAAATTCAGTAATAATGGCATTTTTAGCAATTTTAGGACAATTAACTGATGACATAAATTTGGTAACGTGAAAAAGGCTATTGTATGGTTGATTCCGTATCATCTCTATCAGCACAGGTATCATCACTCCATAGACGTTTTTTCTTTTAAATAAGCGCGAAAAAAAAAACAAAACAAACCCCCGTATTCAGTTATTTGATAATTTGATAATATACGATTTTTTGAGGTTTTTATTATAAAAAATAAGGTAAAACAACATCTACTAACATTTTAAAGGTAATGACCATAACTTTTATTTTTCCTTAGGACGCCATATTGGATTTGTTTTAAAGTAAATAGAATTTTATATTATCTTTTTGAAAAAATCACTGTTTTTGACAGAATTAAAAATATAAACAATTGTCATTGTACCATTAAAATATAGTTTACTTAATTGGTTTTTGATAATACATCATAATTTATAAGGATGACTCACAAATGTGGTTAGAGAGGACATATATTGTTTATCGGATTAAACGAGTCACCCCGTATAAACGATTTATCCTGAATTTACAATATTACATTAAATAAATGTGAGACCTGTGACTCTATGTCATACAGGATGTTAAACCTATTGCAAAAACTTTAAAAATTATAAAAGTAGTTGTTTGGGCAGATGCTGTATTCTAAAAGTTTCATCCAAGGAATATTATATCTAATCCGTTCTTGGTTATATTTTGGGCAAGTGTTTATTAAATGTTTTTTAATTTGTTTTACGTCACTAAGTTCACATTTTGTTTCTGGTTTATTAATTAAATGAGCTCGTGTTAATTTAGTATGACCTAATTTTAACCGAGTCATTATCACTTGAGTTTTTCTGCCTTTAGGTAATTCTTGCCACGAATTCACTTGAGGTTTCACTGCTTTCAGCTTGGATAAGAAATTGTTTCAACGACTTTGCTACGAATTTTGCAATTTTGATTTTATTAGACTTTTTGCATCACTGGTTAAAAGGTCAAAAATATGTAGAGAGTATTCCGTACGTATTGCTCAGCGCGCACATTTATCAGCTTTCTTATTTCCAGAAATTCCGATATAAAAAGGAATCCATATGAAAATAACTGTTTTATTTTTATTTTCTTGCAGTTGTTTTCGGATTTTTATAGCAATCTGGTTGGTTGGAAATATTATCTTTTCAAGTAATGGCCCTATTTTTCAAATTTTGTCAGCTTTTCTTCCTTCATCAGAGATCATATACCACTTTCAAAGATAAAAACGAGGCTTAGCCATTGCCTGTTATATAAGAGGTACCTTAAATTTTTCACACCAATACATATCGAATTAAGGGTATTGTAAACAAGCCATGACCGTAGTAATACCTAAGAATACTTTAAGTTCTTTTAGCGTGAGTGCTAAGGATTTGCCTATTTTTAGAACCAAAATTCTATTCGTGCACGCAACAATTTCTGTAAGGATATCTTTATCCAATATTGTACAAAAAAATCCTCTAAACGCCAATGTTCATCAAATATTGGCAAATATGAAGGTTGTACAAAAATTATTTTTTGTGGCTCAAATATTTCTTTCCATTCGTCGTTAATAATTGTATCACTGCGTACCTTATTTCCAATCACCTTTCCACGAACCTCGAGCGCCTCTTCCTCTTCCAAAACCTTTGGAATGACGGATTTGGTTGGATCGTGAAAGAAAGGATGATGGTGATGTAGAAGAACAAGAAACTTTCTGTTCAGAGTGGTCGCTTTCACTATCAGAAGAAAGAGATGAACTCTTACTTCTGCGTCTCGGTACTTCATAAAGTGGATCGCTATCTGAGTCATCACCACTAAACTCACTGTCGCATGTGTCTAAACATTTCAAAATTTGTTCATCCGTTAATCCTAAAACAAGGAAACATAGACTAGTTTATTACCTTTAAAAGTACATTTACAAATTGCCAATCCAGGCGTTTACGGGATTATTACTTTTAACAGTACATAAAAATGAAATTAAACTATTTTACAAAAATATTTGTTCTGGTATTGAATTTATACTATTACAAGTTGTACCTAAGATTTATTTGGATACACTTACCTTGTTTACGTGTATCACGAAAACACCTCGACTCTGACGCCATTTTATTTATACGACTGATTTTATATTTAAATTATTTTAAAACTGCTTTAAATAGTAATAGTTTACTACCATCTAGATTTTACTACAATGAAATTGTTTGTGTAGCTTCCATTCTTTTAGTCAACAACTTTTTTAAAACCTTATGTCCTTCTCGAAGTACTTTGGCGGTTAGGAGGTATGTCCCTACGTAATGATACCAAGATCTTTGTTCTTTGTTGACTGGGCACAACAATAAGCTACTAAGTAAATATACCGATATCCCGAATTTTAAACCAAAACTTTTATTTACCCGCTACATCCAAAATATTTTTCACTGTCAAAAATTCGTTTACCTATCGCGTAGTGGGTCGAGATTATAGATTATAATAGTAACCGTTTAAAATTATTAGAATTATTATTATCTGTTGAAGAAAAGAACTATTGAAGATGGAATATTGGTCCATCTGTATTGAACAAAAGGATTCTTAAATATGCCACATAAATGACATCTATCAAAATTCGTTAATATTACGAATATTAGAGTATGCTACTGTGGCTTTAAGACATTTTTATTTCAGATTAGCGATGTGTTTTTTTTTTGTTATATTATTAAGAAATAAAAGTATTTCTCTTTTTGAGTGTGTTGTAACGAATTTCTGTAATTATTTTTTTTTATTGAAGTAAATTTTTGCAATAAATCGGAAAATATTAAATATTTTCAAAACAGTTAGGCATTGGACATAATACATAAAACTAGTCCAGAATTTTATAAATAGTTCAAAAATTTAATAATATACAGGGTATTGTATTTAAAATAACAAAGTTGGTATTAACCACTGTCACATGATACACCCTGTATAAAAAGTTTTTGTTTAAAAAATGCGCAACTAAAAATACAAGTCTATATGTCCAAGCATTTTTCCGAACACGCCTTTATTTATTTATGTATTTATTTATTACCGAATTTATTCAATTTGACTCTTCCACACTGTATGTTTTTAAAGGTATCGAGTACCTAAATAATTTAGAAGTACATATTGTTTATGATTGTGTTATCTACATTTTTTTTCATATATCCCAAAATCTCAATAGTTTTAACATATTACCATTTACCATTTCGGAGATATAATATAAAACTAGAACAAGCAGATATAAATACGAGTATGTAATAAATGGTGAGTAGGATACATTACTTTTTTTTCAGCCGAAATAGCTTTTCTAAAATCAATTTCTTCAATAAGAGACTCATAATGACCATGGTCCAAAGGTGCATCGTTTTGATTAATACGAGAAAGTCGTCTAGTTGGAACATCCTTAATAATGTATTCTATCACTTCATGTATCAAATTTTTATCGAATCGTTCTGACTGAATGCGGCCATGATTGAAGAGCAACTTAAGATTTTCCAAACATTTTGCAGAGGTAACATACTTGAGTAAAGGCTTTAGATATTCGTTGTCTAGTTTTTGGTCTTCGGCAAAGTCGTACAACAGATTAGTAATTTGCATTCCGATATTTTCAAAAATATTATAATACATAAATTGTTTCAATAATTCCTCTAACTCGTTCAACGATTTATCTTTGGCTTTATCGACATTTTGTTTAATTTCTCTGGTAATGTAATCCATAACATTATCGTATTGATCGAATGGTGTTAACGGGTTTACATTATTATTGATCAAAAATTCAATTATTTCCTTCTTAACATCTTGTGGTAAAATATTCTGAAATCTATCCGTTAATAACATAGTTAATACATTTCCCTCATGAGGTACGTTTGTGTAAGGATCAAAAAGACCTGAGCGTAGCAAATGATCAACGAGTTTTAAATTTGCTGATAACATAGCTAGTCTCAAAGCGTCTAATCCCAAATAAGTAGCCTCTACGTCTACCTTATTTAGAAGCAACGACGCCATTTTTTGAAAATATTCGCAGTTGTCTGATTGAAAATCTGTTCGCATACAGAGCATGTGTAAGACATTTTTTCCATTATCCTCAATCTCATCCTTATAAGGCGCATTAACTAAAAATGAAACGTAATTATTATTAAAATACCAACACCTGTTTTTAAATGTTTTAAAATACAGGATTAATGGAAAGGTTGGAATATTGTGGCAAAAACTATTCAAAAATAAAAAAGTGCAAGACACAATGGAACTAGGGCTGCAAATATGTAGGGTGTTTCAGTCTAAATTCACAGCACATGCGCGGCTCTGTGTCGTTTAACCTTTCTTTTCTAGCTACTCGTAGAAATCATATAAATTCAAACAATAAGAAACCCAAGGAAGGCTGGACGGCAACGTTTATCTTTGGCAAAGGAGACTAGATAGCGATTTCCATCTCCAAAAAACGAGGCTGGACATAAAAGTTCACCGCAAAGCAATAAGCACTACAGAACTAAAGAGGATCAGTGGTGCAGAATCAAAGCGGAGGAAGAACGCTAATCTGTAGATAGGCAGCGTTACAATATCTACCAACGGTATCTCCAAACTCAATCAAGTCCTTGGGCAGCGATGTTAGTTCTGTTTCTACAAGAGACAAAGAACACAGCGCAGCAAAGGGATAAAAAGAGACCGCGATCAGTCGCCTTATCTAAGGGAATACACATAAGAAGGAAATAAACCCAACCTACTTGCAAACTACAAAGACGTTGTCATAAAATCATCTTAAAGTAGCAGTTATATAAACAAGAAAAACCCACACAGTAAGATAAATACTGAAAAAGAATTTATTGTCAAAAAATACATTAAAGGGGCAGCAAGACAATTTTTTTTGTCTTGCTTCTGGCAGTGACAGCAAGCCACCTGCCTTCAAATCTTAGACGTACTTTTGGAATATCATCAGAGTAATAAGCGACAATGATATATCATTGAACTGGCTAAAACACACGTGACCAGCTCTAAGGTCATGGGAAGGAGTAGACGTGCAAAGGCCCCCTAAACTTAACATAGTCTCTTTCTGGACCCTATTGAAGCGTGTAACGGTTGGAACCGTTATTCTTTATTTCGACACAATCACCTTTTACTCAAATGTCATTTATCGTTTATGCCTTGTGTCAAAAGTTAATATTTCATTTCATTTTGAAGATATCAAATAGATCACATTCATTTTAATCTAGGTCATCCTATATATTAGATACAGAGAGATAAGCAAGGATGGGATATCTGAAAAGTCAACAAGGAGAACCTACAGTCACACTTTCCTGGATGTAAGATTATTCTTGACTAAGATAACAGGAGTACTAAGGCACTAATTTCTAGGGCCTCAAAAACAAACTGGTCTCTTGGAAACTCAATAGTAAACAGAACAAAACTTGTGTGGGCGATAAATTCCTTTCAACCATATAAAACAGCTGGACCTAATGGTATAATCCCGGCACTTCTACAAAAGGGCCAGGAAGTACTGGAGGGGCCACTGTGTAAACTATTCCGAGCTAGCATAGCCCTCGGATATGTTCCACAAAGCTGGAGGTGTGCAAGAGTGGTCTTCATTCCCAAACCCGGGAAAGCGTCATACGAGGAGGCCAAATCTTTCAGGCCAATCAGCCTAACGTTATTTCTCCTAAAAACATTGGAGAAATTGATCGATAGATATATACGGGACGATGTTCTACGGGATAAACCGATACATCGATACCAGTTTGCCTACCAATCTGGAAAGTCTTGCGATGCAGCCATACATAGGCTAACTCAACGGGCTGAACAAGCATTGGAAAGCAAAGAAATAGCACTAGGAGTTTTCCTAGATATAGAAGGAGCCTTTGACTCGGTTTCATACAATTCAATACTGGGATCTATGCAAAGGCGTGGAGTAGCCCACTGCATTACGAAGTGGGTAGAGTTCATGCTTAATCATAGAACCATTACCAGTAATCTCCTTAACACAACAAGAGAGGTCTCAGTTAACAAGGGATGCCCGCAGGGAGGAGTGCTATCTCCTCTTATGTGGACCTTGGTGGTTGATGACCTCTTATGGGAGTTAGAGAGAGAAAACTTATACACGCAAGCATTTGCAGACGACATAAGCATCGTAGTAAACGGTAAATTTGGGACTGTTGTATCCGAAAGGATGCAGCGGGCACTAAATATCGTCGAAAGATGGTGCCTAAAAGAGGGATTGTCCACAAACCCAACAAAAACCTCTGTTGTTGCATTCACAAGAAAAAGGAACCTTCAAGGAATGAAGGAGCTTTATATGTGGGGACAACATCTAAAAATGGCAAAGGAGGTTAAATATCTTGGAATCACTCTCGATGACAAGCTTAGCTTCTGCAGCCATATAGAAAAAACAACAGAAAAAGCTGTAAGAATACTATGGGCCTGTAGACGGATGGTAGGGAACGCATGGGGGCTTAAACCAAGTATGATGCACTGGCTTTACACTATGGTTGTAGTACCTGTTATAACTTACTCATCAGTCATATGGTGGCACAAGACTAAAAGCATAACAGCTAACAGAAAATTAGACAAGGTACAAAGACTAGCCTACCTAATAATAACAGGGGCATTTAGAACTACGCCCACAGCAGCAATGGAGCTACTGCTAGGTCTTTCTCCACTACACCTTGTGGTGGAGAAGGAGGCTATGGCGGCGGCATACAGGCTGTTTACTAATGGATTTGGATGGGAACTTTCGAGAAAAGGACACCACACAATGATATTAGAGAAACAAAAACAAAATCCGGTACTAAGAATGCCATCGGATAGAACGCCCATTATTCACGACTTCAGGAAACCTTTTGATATTCAAATACCAGAAAGGGCCAAAAGCCGGGAAAAAAAGGAAAGACAAAACGAATCAATCTGGTATACAGACGGTTCGAAAATGAAAAACAGCACAGAAGCTGGGATCTACCATATGAACTCAGGGAGGACAATTAGTTTGAACCTGGGATCACTGACAACAGTCTTCCAGGCTGAAGTAACAGCAATAAATGCCTGCGCCAAAGTCATGCTAAATGACTCTCTTAGAGATAAGAGGATCGTTATAATGACAGACAGTCAGGCAGCCCTTAAAGCACTAAATAGGGTAGAAGTACAATCTTAATCAATATTTGATTGCCAACAATCCCTCCAGGCTCTGGCAGAACATAACAAGGTTACCCTTGAATGGGTGCCAGGACATGAGGGAGTGTTTGGAAATGAGAAAGCAGACCTCCTAGCAAGGAAGGGAGCGGAAAAAACTCTTATTGGACGAGAACCCACATGTGGTATCTCATACCAACATGTTAAATGGGTGTTAAAGGAACAAATAAAAATAGAACATCATAGGCTCTGAATGGAACTTCCTGGACTTAGACAGTCCAAAAGATTTATAGAGGGGCCATCCACGAGCAGACAACATCAACTGCTAAACCTTAGCAGAAGCGAACCCAAGGCCGCAATAGGACTCCTTACGGGACACTGCGGCCTTAGAAGACACCTAAATCTCTCAGGAATATCTGATGATTCCCTATGTAGAATATGTGAAGAGGAGGACGAAACTCCTATTCACATATTATGCCACTGTCGGAACCTTAAATGGGAACGGGAATGGTACTTCGGGGTACAATATCCGGAACCTGAAGAAATCGCGAAAGCGCCCATCAGACATATTCTTGAATTAATCAAGAAAATCAATCTGATGGGATAGAAACTGTGAGGGGTACGATAAGCCTAGAGCTTTAGTACAAGTGGGCTTTGAACCGCGCCCTAATTCAGATGATGATGATGATAATGATGATGATGATATATTAGATGAATATTAATATTCTTATTGGCCGTCTGATTTTATAAGGTAAGTTTTAATAATAATATATTGTTAAAAATATATATTTTGTACAAGGATTTCTTAATTAAATTGTCAAGTTTCGAACATAAACTCAAATCCTATCAACAATGAGTAACACACATGGTTAATTTATATATTATTTTTTTTTAATAAGATATTATGCTTTACTATGTTTGAATGTATTAAATAAGATTTTTCCTTTTCATATTAATTTTAGTCTCTGTAAAATTATTCACTTAATAGTTTTAAATTGTTCATTTAATAGTTAAAGCATTTTATCTAAATCCTGTTCAAATTTCTTATTTCCTGACTTAAAATTTTAACCTTTTTTAGCATGGCTATATCTAGACGGTTTTGAATTCCTCTCAAGATGTTTTATGGATTTAATACTTAGAAGTTTGTTTTGGTTTTGGTACAATCTGAAGACCGTTGTTTGATTCATTTCTAGAAGATCTAGACCGTTTCGAGTTTAAGTTAAGAATAAATATCACGAGATCATTCATGTTGCAGAATTACGAATATGGATCCCGAATCCCTTTGAGGAAGTTGTCTGAGGATATACCATGCGTTTAAATATTCCTTATATTACCTTCCTTTACCAAAAGATAAGTTTTATTTAATAAATCATCTTAAATTTGAATTTAGTAAAACTATGTGAATTACAATTTGATATCTACCTTATCTAAAGCATGGTTTAAATATAATACGTTAGTGGTTAGTGTTTTTCTATATTTTTATTACTAAGTCAAGTATAGTAAGCTTTAAATATAGTGGTGTCCAACTTCTTTTTCAAAGTTATTCAAGTCATTTAATAACCTAACCCACGCCCAATCAATTGAGCTCAAACACATTAAACAAGTACATAGAATAACTAGTAATTACGTTACAAGCACAAGCTGAGTTTGGCGAAAAAAGGAACATCAAAGCTCGTTTCGTTCCACTAAGGGAGTTAAAGAGGTTATGTCAAGGAGACTTGACGAGACCAAATAAAGAAGTGGTGCAAATTATACCATGAGACCAAAACCGACCCCAAAGGACATTGGACATGGGTCTCCTTAAGACCTAGTAAATTAGGTTTACCTTATTACCTTATTAACCATAATGTTGAGATCACAAAGAACAACAAAGAAACTTTTGTAGAGGACCCATTAAGAGGAGCTAGTAAACGAGGTAGTCAAGTCAGACAAAATGCCAATAACGATCTCGACCAAAACCAAGATTAGACCAATCCCTAGATAACCAACTTTTATTAAT